ACAGGTCCACAGTCTCTTCCAAAACAATTCCTCCACTTAATGCGATCTAGAGCTTTCTCCTTCAAATGAAAGTATCCTCTTCTGTCCCCAAGGTCATCCAGCATCTTTTTACGTCTTCTTCCTCGTCTTCTTATCCCTCAATTAACGGGAATCAAAAGGTGAATTCGAACGGAAAGCACATGCGGTCATCCTTTAGCTTTCTGTTTCATTAATTAATTATTTGTTTTCAGTCTTATTGATGCATCTTTCGTAAATGTTCCAGTTGCTGCCTGGGTTTTGCTTTACTGTCATATTTCAATCACTTGATCTCACCATCAGTAATAAAACATGTTTCGTCTTTCCGTGACTATCTTTATTGTGCTGTGTGTAGCTGGAGGACGATATAGTGAAACAAATTACGAGGCGTAATATAACTGAGGATGGTCATTTAAGGTTGAAACATGTTTTATTAATAACGAAACAGATGAATGAAATGTGACGAGTGACGATAACCATGCAAACATTTAAACGTTTACGAAAACTGCGTGAATAAAACTGAAAATAAATAACTGTAAAATGCACAGAATCTTCAAACATAGGCCTACTCTTTAGAATGTTATGACACTGTTGTGTTTATATTCACTTATATTACGTGCAGACTTAGGTAGATAGCTCTATGTAGGTGTACTTCGTCGGAGTACACCGCTTTATTGGAACTACGTGAATGTGTCCGATTTCTAGTCGTCCACCCCCCAAATGACTGCAGTCAATCAGTTTATAATTTACTATCATTAAAGGGCACGATTTATCTCGTTCAAGTTGTCCAGACTGGTTCTGGGGCCCACCCAACCTCTTAACCAATGAGTTCAGGGGTCATTTCCCAGGGGTTAAAGTGGCCGGAGAATGAAGCTAACCGCTAACATTTGTCTAATGCTTACGTCAAGAATGTTGGAGCTATAATCTACTCGCCCATGTCTTCATGGCATAGTGATTAATTTAAGCACAGGGACAACTTTGCCTTTTTGTCGTTAAACAATGATGGATACACGAAGGGTTTCCTCAGCTACTGGATGAGCACGGTGGAAATGAATGTCGAGAAATTTACAGATCTCTGTAATCAATAGTTACCGATAGCGCCTGCCAATTCTATGCACGCTTCACTCCTACAGGAGAGTTGGAGAAGTTGCCTAATACAACGGCGATTCGCGGGTAAATTTATTCTAGTCCCAATTCCACTTAAATATTAATTTAGGGCCGCGCCATAGCTCAAGCGGTTAGTCGCTGGCTTCCCACCGCGGCGGCCCGGGTTCGATCCCGGGTCTGGTCAAGTGGGATTTGTGGTGGACAAACTGGGGGTGGGGCAGGTTTTTTCCGAGTACTTTGGTTTCCCCTGCCAATCTTCATTCCACCAATTGCTCCACAATCACCCTCACCTATCATCTGGGGCTGGTACAATAGGGCCAGAAGTGGCCGCAGTACAAGGGACTTAATCCCACCCCACTAGCAATAAAAATAATAAATATTAATTTTTAAGTTTAACTAGGGAAACTAATTAATTATACTATTAAATTGTATCATACGTCATATTATTAGCTTAGATAACGCAGTTAGGGTAAGCGGATGAAGCTGAAACTGGTTTCAGCATGGCTTTTCATTCTTTTATAGAATAGCTCGAGTGTGCGACGGTAGAACTTTCCACTTTCATTTTGCATAGTGTCAACCATGTTCAGATAATAACGTACGAACGTAATCGGAAGCTTATGCCTGTCCGCATGTTTCATCTCCGAAACTAACTGAACTGATTCTGGTGGAAGGTTGGCCAAAGATAAAGGTAAAGCTATCCCCGTAACAGGCCATGGAGACCTGTAAGGATGTGAGACGTCGAGTTTCCCACATTATCTGGATAATCTGCTCACAAATGGCGGTGAGGTTGTCAGCCTTACGCGCCTGCTACCCTTTAACCCCAGGAAGATTCCTAGTACTCATTTCCGTTAGAGGCTGAGTCGACCCCAGGGCCACAGTGAGGCTGGAAGCATTAGGCCAATCGAAAAATGTAATTACCTCATCGAGAATTGAACCCGCAACCCTCAGGGTTGTAGCTTAGTGCCTCAACCAACTACGCTACCACCTGACCCTGGAATTTTTAATTTGAATTTGGGATTAATCAAATAGATGCTACACTTTACATGAGGTCTAAATCACTTTGTTACATTTCTCCAGCACTGCTGCTGTTACAAAAAGAAATTCGTGACATGAACTATAGATGTCAGGTGTCGAGCTGGAAACAGCTTATCCAATGCTGAATATTCCTCAAGCCACTTCTTTGTTTCATATCTGGAAAAGTCGCACATTTTGTAACGTTAAACCCTCACCGAGGCCGCCATATTCTTTTACATTTTAGAAGAAGCTGTAACAAATATTTGAATATTATTCTAAATTATGTTACCGCAGAAAATACGTTCAGTCTCTGTTGAGGGTAGCTAATATTGCTCCTGCCGGTCACAGTGGTCGCGCGGTCTAAGGCATGAAATATCTTCGCTCTCTCAATCATTGAGATCATGTTTCGAGTCCCACTGAAGTCATGGATGTCTGTTTGCCTTTATTCTGTGTTTCTGTTGTCTTGTATAGGTGTCGGCCTTGCGATTAGCTGATCCCCCGTCCAAGGACTGACTGTCTATAAGATTAAGAAACCGAAATGAAACGGCGTTGCACAGATGTCCTATGCTCCTGAGGGAGCAACAGGAGTCAATAATAATAATAATAATAATAATAATGATAATGCTCTTACCTCCAAGTTTTCGTGGTCATCAAGTTGGTATTACGGCTTTTGTTGGTAGAAAACTCAAAAGTCCACCATAACTCGATCTCCAATAATATTATGTGAACATAAGATTCTACTTAGACCGCGCCATAGTTCAAGCTGTTAGTTGCTGGCTTCCCACTGCGGCGGCCCGGGTTCAATCCCGGGTCTGTTCAAGTGGAGTTTGTGGTGGACAAAGTCTCGCTGGGGCGGGTTGTCTCCGAATACTTCGGTTTCCCCTGCCAATCTTCATTCCACGAATTTCTCCAACATCATAATCACCCGGGGCAGGCTATACAATACGCCAATCAGTGGCCGCCGTGCCGAGTGGACCCAGTTAGACTCCACCCCCCACTATGCGAATTAAAAAAAATAATTTAAGGTTCTACTTAAACTAGTCAGTTTATTAAAAACTATAAAAAGGGAGAGATCACATGGGCCCTTGTACAGTGAAACCTCAGTATTTCGAACTCCCAGTAGTCCAAACCGACTCAGGCAGCACAAAAAATAATGTGCACTTCCAAAATTTTACAAATATAATCTTAACTACTGTATTTCCTTGTAGTAAAACTGAATTCGCCGGTCACGGTAGCCGAGCGGTCTAAGGCATGCACTGTCTTCGCTCGCTCGGAAGCCGGGATCGTGGGTTCGAATCCCACTCAGGACATGGATGTTTGTGTGCGTTTTTCTGTGTTTGTGTACAGGTATAGGCCTTGCGACGAGCTGATCACCCTCCCAAAGAGTCCTACGGAATGTTTAAAATGTAGTAAACCGAAGTGAAACGGAGAGTTTCATGGAGGTAGGCCTATGCCCAAATTGCGGCTGTAGCGCCACAGGAAAAAAAAAATGAAACACGAAACACGAGCGTGTGTTAGCGGACCCGCTTCTCTACGTGATGAAACCCGGTTACGTTTGCCCCAAGCCAGGTTCTTGTATTGGTCTCCATACAAAAGTGTTTATAAAACTTTTGAGTGTATAATTTTACTAACAAATTCGATTTTTTTATTTGAAAGCCATTAACGCGAACAATTGGTTAGTCCAAACACAGATGCTTTAATTAGTTCGCATTATTCATGTTGCGCTGTGCTTCATACAGAAAGTCGCCTTTCCTTGTAGAGTAGGAAAGCTACGATGAAATGAAACTTAACTATAATATTTGAAACGCATCCCGGCTGGGCATCAGTTGTTAGTTGCATTGTGTAGCCTCAATTCGTGAAGATGGCGAGGCGCAGATTAAATGAAAAATTAATAGACTCTTTAGCGGAGTTCGGGGCACGCGGTAGCATAGTTTGGTTGAGACAGTATGCCACAATCCGGAAGGTCGCCTGGTCGATTCCTGAGGAAGTCATTGGATTTTTCACTTTGCCTAATTCTTCCAGGGGCACTATGGTCTTGGGTTCGACTCAGCCTCTAACAGGAATGAGTATCAGGAATCTTCCTTGGGGATAAAGGGCGGGTGGCGCGTAAGGCTGACAATCTTACCGCCATCTGTGATCCGATTTTCTAGAAAATGTGGGAGCCTCGACGTCTCACAATCCTATGGGTCTCCGCGGCCTCTTACAGGGTTAGCTTTAAATTTTACCTTTACCCTCTCAACAGTGTGTGGCTTATGGCGGAAGCAAATAATATCAATGCTAAAGGTAAATATAGTTTCTTTTTTCTGACCAGATAAGTTTCTTTAACTACGTTGGAAGAGAATAGCCTTTGCTTAATTCTATGTAAAGGTTGATTTCACTACAACTGTAATTACACCTTCTAGATTTATATGTTTCACGTTTTGTTTAAATACGCTTTCTAATCTGTGTAAGTTATATACTCCCAACCGGAGTGTCACTTCTTATGATGAATTAGGATGATTGTGGATGGAAGCTACTCTAGACGTTTCGTATCACAATCCGAGCATTTACGTGAAGGGAGTCAGTTCGTCATTCTTCGGATTCTGACAGACTACTTAACTTTGTATTTACAGACTAGGAAACCAGGAATACTAACAACTCAACACGTTCTTCGAAGTATAGAATTAATAATGGGTTAATCAAAAAGGGAAGCACAATATATCGTTGAAGGTCGTGGTGCAAGGGGCCGGATTATTACCGCCCACCCATTTAACTCGGCAAGGTACTGATGTTCCCTTAGTTATCGAAGTATCTGATTTAGTCACCAGTCAGTACGTAAGTAGGAAGTATGTTTGTTCTTACAACTGTGTGTTTTCATTTCGCAGGTTGGCAGCAGCGCAGGAGGCGGCAGCACAGCAGCGGTCTGGTCGTGACTGCTCGCCCGCCCCCGGCCACAGCATGGCCCCACACCCCCAACAGCCCCCCGCCGGCGCCAAGGGGCCCACCTCACTGTTCTTTCTCAGTGAGGATAACGCCATCCGGCGTTACACTCGCTTCATCATAGAGTGGCCATATCCTTTATTTGCATATTCATGTAGCAACTGTAGCCAGGCACCTTCTTGAAAAGCTAGCAGTCGCTCAGCTAATCAGGCAATTAGACACATAGATCCATCTTCATATTCACACTTCTTCCTGTCCCTAGTCAAACGATTCGAGTCCCCACAACGGAACAGTTTTCTTTAAAGTCCATATTAATATTATCCTCCCATTCTAATGCTAGACTCCACTGCTGTTAATTCCGATACATGTGAACAACGGAGCATTGTTTCGGACATTATTGTTTACGTAAAAGTGTGTTTTAATCACCGTGTAAAAAAATTCTTAAACTACTATCCTAACATCTGTTGAACTTCTGTCTAATTTATAAATTCGTATGGAATGCAATTTTTGATAAATCCCAGTGAACCGGATGAATCATATAATACACAGAGAGACGAAATTTCATAATCAGTTATATCTACAACCCAACTTTGTCCTTAAAATTATAGTTCCAATTTTCTCTCTTTCTTCCTTCTTTCCACCGTCCCCTTCGTCTCTGTCCCTCTTCCATTCCTTAACTCTTTTGTTTATTTATTATTTTTATTGTTTCATTAACATTATTAATTAATTTGTTCTTGATCTATTTATACAACTTAAGATTAAAATCATATACATCATATATACACGAGGAGGTAAATGAAACCTTGGTTAATATTGTTCACTGAGTTACAATATTGAAATAGACGAATGAATACATTTAAGGTCATGGGTCACATTGAAAATCAATCGGAAACCTGAAACCAATATATTGTGGGTGTTGTGTTGTGTATGGAAGTTGCTTGGATATCCTGAACTCGTGCACTTCAAACTTAAGTGGAGTTATTTAGTCGTAATTAGACCTACTCAGTACCTTTGGAACGAAAATTTTCATCTTCGTTAGACGAACTGTGTAATTAGAGCACCAATAAAACTGTTCTCGGTTAATAACGAAATTCCTTATCCATATAAAGAGAAACTTTGGTTACAATTTTTAGGTGGATTACGGAGAAATTTTTTAAAAACATCTGTTAGCTTCAGAGAGCCGGATTAGCGTATTCGGTATAGCGACTGGCTACGAGCTGGACGACCGAAGGGTCAGAGTTTGAATCCCAGTAGGGTCAATTTTCTCTCCTCCACGTCGTCTAGACCGGCTCTGGGGCTCACCCAGCCTCCTATCCAATGGGTACCAAGGACTTTATCCTCGGGGGTAAAGCGGCCGAGGCGTGAAGCTGACCGCTCACCTCCAGTTATTGCTGAGGTAAAGAAAATGCGGATGTATACATCCAATCCCCCACACGCCTTTATGGCATAGCGCTTAATTAGTTAAGAACATGGACAACTTTACCTTACTGCTAGATTGATGTCTCCCCTCAGGCGAGTTGCTCCGAAACTACGGGGCAGATTCTAATTAATCTAGGTATGATAGACCAAGTCGATTACAGTGGTCGCTCAATGTTAGGCTTGAACGCTGGGATCATGGGTTCGAATCTCACCCAAGGCATGAATGTCTGTGTATAGGATTAAGAAACTGAAGAAGAGGTCAGGGCCCAACAAAAGGGTTGTAGAGACATTGATGATGATGAGATGACAATAGATCAAACTAATTTTAACCGAAAAGTTTAGAGACGTAGGTTTGTTTTAACTACAGTTCTATTTCTTTAACATTTTCGGATTAGGCCTTCAAGACTGCTGCGTTTCAGAATCAACTTCAGAATCTGAATCTTTCAGAAAATTGTGAGTCCTTTGGAAAGGGCATCGATCCATCGCAGGGCCTCTCTCAACACAGGGAAACCCAGACACGAAATAAATGAGTATATATATATATATTTATGCTTCGACTGAGATTCAAACTCATGATCCCCGTGCTCTAGGTATAAAGGATAATATACTCCTCAGACCGTGCGGTCACTGTAATCCTAACTTACCTTAAAGGGCTAAATTAACTTGAGTCATTCGTACAGAAGTTAAAGGGGAAATCGAGTGAGAGGCAAAGTCATAAGGCCCAAAATAACATCGAAGTTTATCATAAAGAACTGCATGTGAAGCCTTGAAATTGATTACAATTTTTCTAGGTGTCTATAGGAGTAATTTGTGTGTTATCAACAAAGGCTCTGCAAGGTAAAATTGTCCTTATACTGAACTAAGCACTACGCCATGAAGACGTATTGGGGAGTGAATGTATAGATCCACGTAATCTTGAGTTGGGGGTGAATGATCAGCTTCACGCCCAGCCCTTTTTAAACCCGGGGAAAGAGCCCCCCCCCCCCGTAACCATTGAATAGGAGGCTGGGCCCTGGAACCAGTCTTGATTACGTGGAGAAAAGAAAATTCTAGACTCTACCAAGGCTTGAACTCGACCCCTCGGCCGTTCAGCCCGTGGCCCGTCGCTCTGCCACACTACGCTATCCCGGCTGTAACAAAGGCTCTGTACAGTACGTCAATAAATTGTTGTCGAACAGAACTCTGAATCATTGGATTTCAGTCTTCACTAGCCAAGATCTAGGACTCGGTTTCTACAAATCAAAGCCCACCCTCCCACACACACACTTTTCTTTTTTCGTTGCTGGAGGTTTGTTTTAATTGCACAACATTCTCGCAGCATTCAGGAGACTGAGACGGACAGCGAAGGGGGGGGGGNGGGAGACGTTCTTTCATGAATTCCAGCAACTTGTACCTTCCGGTATGCAAGGGGGCATAGTAGACAACCCATTCTACACGCGAAGAACGCGCGGTTTCCTTCAACAACGGAGTAACTCACCTTACTTCCTGATTTCTCTGTCGACAGCACCGAAATATCGTCCTCCTCCTCTCCTCTTCCTCCCCTTTCATCATCACCTTTATTTTATCGGAGAATAACTTTCACCTTGACTTGTATTAAGGCATAAACCTACAAGAGAAACGGAGCGAGCATCAGGTGTTCCGAATAGACAGAGCTCCTTTGGTTTCTTGCAGTACAGATCTTGTTTATTTATTTGTCTATTTATTATTTATTTAGAAACCCTGCCAGTAGCTCTGATTATGTAGCATCGATTGGTAACCTCCGCTCTAGTAGGTAAAGAGGGCTTTTACTTGAGGGTAGGGAGCCCTAGGCATGAAGCTCGTCACTCACCTCCAACTAGTGCCGAGGTCAAGAATACGTGGGTCTATACTTCCTCTCCCAATAGGTCTTAATGACGTAGTGCTCAATTCGTTAAGCACAAGAACAACTTTATTATCTTACTTTATCTTCGTCATCATAATCATTATTGTTAATGTTGTTTTAGTTGTTATAAAGTGCACGAACCTGCCCAAAGATAAATATGTAAGTCTGTTTAGATCTCTGAAGTGTGAATTAATTTGATTTAAATCGTGCTCTGTTGATGAGTGGCCGCTTAGTGTTGCTCTTTGCTGTCATAGCCCTAACTCTTTTCTCATGGGTGAAAGTATGGGGAATAAAGCTCAGTTGCACTCGAATGCAGCAGAAGGACTGACAGATTTTCAGAGATTTCCATCCTAAAACCAATAGCTTCTGCACTTGCTCTTTTTCGATGTCAGTATTTGTTCCTGCTAATACCGAACATGACGGACAACGAATGCCAATATCCTCTTAACTTTATGTTTTATTACTTAACTCTAACTTCTAATCACAAAGGCCTGTTTTTGTAATTGTGGCTGTTGATATTTTTTATCTTTAAACTTTTGCAGCGATGTTATTCTAATATGTTTCTTTAACAGTAGTTCACTCCGTTTGAATACGCAGTGCTCCTTACCATCATTGCCAACTGCGTGGTGTTGGCGCTGGAAGAGCATCTACCGTGCAAAGACAAGACCATTCTGGCTCAGAAACTGGTAAGTACCGGGAAATTGAAGGAATATGGAATTCGGCTATGTAGAGAAAAACAAGCCAGTCGAGTGCTCATTTTCTCAACTTTCATCCTTGATAGTTTGCGTACCTCACGTGTTCTAGCGTCCACGTATGTATTGTATATTCAGATTCATTAATTAAAACTGAACGTCTCTATCGAGTGATTAACATTTCTGTTTCGTAGTGTCAGATGAAACAGAAGACAGCCGTCTCTCCCAACATTAATTTCAATGCCTGATGATGGACACATTGGTCGAAACATATAGTGAAAAACTTTTTAGAAGTGAATGAAGTAAAGCTATCCCTGTAACAGGGTTTGGAGGCCCATAGTGTTGTGAGACGTCGAGGTTCCCACAATTTCTAGACAGTCGGCTCATGGATGGCGGCAAGGTTGTCAGCCTTACACGCTGGCCTCCCTTCATCCCCAAGAATATTCCTGGTACTTATTTCTGTTAGAGACTGAGTCGACCCCAGGGTCAGTGTGCGGCTAGAAGAATTAGGTAAACTGAAAAAGTCCACCTCATCGGGATTCGATCCCGCGACCTTCCGGCTTGTAGCATAGTTAATATTATTTCTGTTTCTTAATCGAGAGATCACGTATTCAAATCTCTGGCCAGAGACCATATGCGTGTATGCTACAAGAGAATGTCGAGAGAGATCTTAACTTAAGCCACGTCCTCTTCTTCTTTTAGAATTTATTACCGACCACTACGTTGTGCGTTCAAGTTCTAAGGTCTCAGATTTTTTTCCTCACACAATAATCATACAAAAAATTGGAAACTTCTGTCACTTTTCAACGTAATCTCCCTGCAGCAGTACACATTTTTCACAACGTCGACGCCATGATTTCATGGCCGCTGCGAACGCCTCTGT